GAGCGTCGACATGAGTCACACGCGCGTATGGCACCTACTCACCTAGCCTCATGTCACGAAACTCTTGGTTGGGCAATCGAAGAAAAAACTGTGCACAATTTTTGTTTTTCCTTCATTCATTTTTTTGATGAATTTTCTGTCAGTTTTTATGCAAGATGTGAGATATTTGTTCCTAAGATTTTGTATATGGTTGATATTGCCAGCATCCTACATTCTACATGTTTTTTTTGTATTACCTCAAACGTTTAAGTAGAAATGTGCATGGAATCATGAGAAGTAACGGTGTGCATTGCATTGCCGTGTGATAACTCTCATAAAGGTGATTGGCCGATTATACTTGTTTACAATTGTGCTCTATAAATAGGCTAAATTGTGTTTCACCATTTCAATTGAGTATTTTGTGTGTTGCTGCTGTGATATTGTGAGAAAAATTATACAGGCTTCTATCATCATTCTGTGAGACTTGTATGAGCTCCTCTGCAATCTCCTTCTAGCAGTAGTGCCACCCACAATAACAGTGTTCCTCTGCAAGCAAGACATCTGTATCTCTCCGTTGTTGAGTAACAAGAAGCCATTGACTGCCATCAAATACCACATCCTGGAACTGTTATTACCGATGCACACTTTCCTGGATAATCCCCTAATTTATTGAATTTAATCATTGTATTATTCTGTTTGTTTCTTATCATTATTTTGAGAATTGATATTTTGGAGTGTGCGTAGCTCATTTCCAGAAGTATTGTCTTGTCCACCACTTTCTAGCAGTGAAGAACCCCTGTCCAGTGTGAGTTCTGTGGGTGTCCCTCTCAATATCAATGAGCAGGCCTTGCACTGTGATAGATATAATTGTCTAAATTCGATAAATTTGGAATGTGAAAAAAGTGGCTAGTACAGGAGTGTTTAGTTTGGGATTGAAATGAGAAAGGTAAGAATGTCTAATATATTCCATCTTCCTAAGTCTGATCATGTTTTGGAGCTTGTGCTTCATATCAAGTCTTACCTGGTTACTATCAGCTTACATGTATTTATCAAGAGGGATAAATGTCAGACCTTTATTTATGGATTATGAATGAGCGTATTCTGTTATTCAAGAATTATAGTAGTACCAATAAGCCAATCTCCGAATATCAGTAGTCTAGGAAAGATATTGCGACAAAATTGACGGAAGCGGAAAATCACAAACCCCCACAAGGGTTTCAGACCAGGTACACGTGAAAGGTAAGCATCTGCTGATGGCATGCCACACCCGCCATGATGTTCCAAAGTCATGTCAGGGAAAAAATGTAAAATCAAGTTTACTGGACAAACAACCACACCAAGTCATAAGGACAAACACGACAACATACATCGATCAATTAACAAATCTGCAATCATGTTACAGACATAAATCCAATAGGAAGCTACCAAATCATGATCGTGACCAATAAACTTCTTAAATGCACGTTTAAGTCGAGGAATTGAAAACCCTTGGCTTATCAACTTGGCGGCCAATAGCCGAGATCCGGCCAGGAAAGACAAATGTTTGATGTTGCAGTCAGAACAATTAAAACTCAATAGTTATTATTCTAACATCATGTGAATATATTCTTTGGCAGTTTTTGCAAACAACATTCACTCCATGTCACAAGCAATGACGATGATTGGCGGAATGATAGTGTTCCGTGAAATACTTGTACAGGATCTTCACTTCTTCAGCGATACATATAATAATAGACTCTTCACAGTCCTAAGGTCTGAATGTTTTAGTATACTAAATTAGCAAACGCCCGAGAACATACTTTCCCTTGATATTAATTATGAAATGCGGCATTTCTTTCAAACGCCGTTTGCCGATTAATATACAAGCACATTCGGCCCGAGGACTAACAACTATTGGGGTGGTGCCAGTAGGGTATAGCACATGTTGTTGGCGAGCAGTGCCAGCAAGGTACCATGAACTTTGCTGGATGAGGCGAATGCCAACTGGGTACTGTAAATGTTTCTGGAGGTGGGCGCTGCCAGCAAGGTAAAGTTAATGATGGCGTAAAGTGCTAGCAAGATACCAATTATGTTGCTGGAGATTGCAAGTGCCAGCAAGATCCCTTAAATCACATGTCATATTCAACAAAATAATGGAGGCAGTTTAAATATTAATGATATTATTTTCATTCATTTTCATGCAAAATAAATTCATTTTTGGGTTTCATTTCTTGCTATTGGCAACAAAATTATAAATATCAAAATGTACTCGCCCATGAATCTAAGCAACATGTTACCAGGTTTCTTCACTTATACTATTTTGTTTCGCAAAAAAGTTTCAATGCGAAAACGAGGGTGGCAGATTCTGAACTATTATTATTTGGGGTTTGTTTTTCTGCTGTTGGCAACCCAACCATATAAATTAACAAATCAAGATCCAACAAGTTACTTGTTACTTAACTTAAGATAACACGGTCAAATGTATGTTGTCATGCAACCAGAAAACGAGATATAAAGGACACTTAAAAGTAGTAGATGACGGAGGTGAAACTAAAAGTGAAATATTCCTTGGAAAGATTCCTAGGAAAGATTGACTGGCAATGCGACATTCCATTATGCGCGAAACTATTAACAATATAGGTTCAATGACATCATTAAACATTATGAAACCACCAAAAAAAATTGCAATAGTATTGCTCGTAAATATCCATTCTCAGTTTCATGTTTGTGTACCTATTTGCTCATTTCCAGAGGTTAAATATGCTCGGAAACGTTTTATCGGAAATAAACAGAGCGATTTCATTCAATCTTTGTATAAGAATAATACATACTAGGTAACACAGCTGAAGACATAATTTTGAAATCTGTATATGTCTGTGTAATGTTTCTAAATTTTGTTGAGAATTATTCTGCAAAGAAATCGCTGAAACAATTTCATCTATTCGTAAAAAGGACCTTATTACCCCAAAATCTAAACCGTACGGCGCCCTCTCGTGCCAATCTTCGCGTTTGTGTCAGAACCTCTGTTACGAACATTTATTCCATATGCAATTAATAAGAAAACGGAAATATATTTTATTTGAATTATATATGCAATTTTAAACAATATCCCTCAAAAATGATTGAAAATGACTCTCATTTGAATAAATCAGATAACGTAAACTTATTTGCTAGTTTCCACGTGAAATTATACAAATATGCAAAACATGAATAATTTGTAGAATTTTATGCCGTATATACATGATCTAGAATACCTGTGTGGTAATTATTAGCCTAACATCAAATTAATTGGGATAATTAAATCAAAACTAACTTTCTTACAGAAAAATTATTACATTAATTAATTATTGAATAAGATATTATAAACTATTAAAAGTCATGTATATACACAAGCATACATAGTTTCAATCAATGTGAGTAAGCTAATATGACAAAACAAAACATGATTGAAAAATACTTTATGTTCATTAAGTATACTAGTATGCAAGTATTTGATATGTACCAGCTCCTATTTGATATTCGACCGCAAACATAGCAATCATGTACAAAGTGTTCATTTTAGTAAACTACATTCTGATCAAAATTGAATAAAGGTATTTAGGCTCATTTTTTGTTCATATTTTATGTTTTGTTTATCTATTTGTGAATAATTTTATGGCTTTACTTGCCGTTATTAATTTGTTTGTGTATATAGTATCTTCCCTAAATCATTCATCATTCTCCTAAACTTATGGCATTGCCGCCCCAAACATTTAGCAAACAATCTGTTAGTTATTGTATTCACACTTCAAAACATGATATCTTTGACCGAGTAATAATTCATCCAACAGTTGCAAGTTCAGAAAGTCCCTGTGTGTTATCTCTGCCACTACTCAATAACAACGTGTATATTGGGGTACTATCATAGGCTGTCTATAGTAGCTTATTTGCATCATATGTTTTCACGGTATGAGGTTCCAGCCCATTAACTCCACATATTAATGAAGAAAGGGATGAACGGATATGAAACCGTGCGACCAGACTATGATTCGTATCACCGCGAAGGCTGTTTTCGAAAATAGAAAGAAAGGTACGACAGTGACGCATTTGATTTGGTGTAGACCTCGATAACTTTATTAATAAAGATATGTCTAAATGCTTGGACAGTATTTTATTCTGTGACGCTATAAACCAAGCACACCCGATTTTAACATCTTTGAATATATTGTAAAGATAATAATTAATGAATTACTAAATATTTACTGAACAAATAATGAGCAAACATGTAATAACAATATCAACCTAAACATGCATGCATTAAACCGCTATATCCCCAAAATTTACAGACACATACATGTGTCATACTAAAGTATTCATGGTTAAAATCCACCAGTAGGTTTATGTTCACTTTTTATGGCACTGAAACACCCCGTGTACAAATTTGGGTCCAGGCCACAAATATGCATACAAGCTTTGAACACTGAGACATAGTGCTTCTTATTAACTGGCTCAATTCTATTAATGCAGAAAAGAGGCCCTGGTTCTGGACCCCGTAACTCAAGATACTTCAGCATTGCCCCCAAGGGGCAGAATCGCTCGTCTTCCGAGGATGAGATAACTATCGAAGGTTGGTTAGGTCGGCAAAGATTTATACCGCTAAATGCGCCTGAACAAGATTCAGTCTGATTAGGAATAAAAAAAATGTCATCTAGTTGTATTAAATGACAATTTTTAGTTGATTGTGTCATGGCTATTTCCTCAATTTGTGTACGTGCATGAAATGAAAACAGAAACATTGAGCGGAATAACCTTCCAGCGTATGTGTCACCTCTAGTCTGGACTAAAGTTATAATAAGCCGGTGTAATATTGGCAGTGTGATAGATTGACGAGTCACAATTGGACATTGTTGTAATGAAGCTAGAATTTTTTGTATGACAAAACTTGTGACAGGGCTGTTGACACCTAAAACGACATGCATATAACTAATTGCAGAACTGTAATTCTCAATGGTTGTTTGGGTGTAACCTTTGACCCGCATATACGAAATAAACAATGCCATTACGGGGACAGAGAGTGGAATTTCGAAAGATATAATGGAGCTGTACTGGGAGGTGAAGCTCAGAAAACATTTCCATGCATGTCTCTGTCGTGCAATTGCAGCTGGGGCAAGGTGTCCTTGAAGAATTTGCTCGAGATTCTCGATCAATTTGCCATCAAATATGGTTTGAGGCTTGAGGACCGTCTGTTTCATGGTGTTGTTACGATGTTCTAAATACGAGTAACCTGTAATTAGATTAAAACAAATATTAAATACTACTCTAATGTAACAAAAATAGATTGAAATGCTGTGCAAAATTATTTATATGTTGTACTAATCTTCAAATGTTTTTTTTTAATTCAATAGCGTACATATCACGACAAAATAACAATAATAACCTGTAGTAGGAGGAGATGTTGAAGAATGCATCGATATTAGCTTTACTGAAGTAGGGTTTGTCATTAAATCACTGTATGGTTGTGACACAAAGGAGTACGGTGCATGTTTATGCCCTTGCATGAAGTCCGCTTTGACAGAATTCCCGCTCTCTAAAGAGATAGATGTTTCTCTTAGGTCGATGATAGTAGTGAGCATTTCTACGCAATGTAGGAGAGGTGCCGATGGCTCTTCGAGTTGACCAGTAGTGGTTAATAGTGTTTGTTGGTCATCGTTTATACCGTATTTCTGGACCAGTTTGCCACCTGAACTGTTTGTTAATAACTGCGTATCTTCCCGGCATGCTTTGAAATAAACGCGCTTCTTTCCTGGTAACATTTCTAGAGCCTTCTTAAGTTTTCTTTGAAAGGACTGGTTGGATCGTTTACCTGTAACCAAAAGTAAAAATGAAATGTTTTAATATAAGCAATGAACCTACGGTTCATCAAGTAAAAGTGTTCAGTCAAGTATCCATTGGCGGGGATCTTGGAGCGATGTCCAATATTCCAAAGTTGTTTGTATGAACAGTCGCACATTTAAGTCACCAAACCAGCTCAGTACGAAGCAGTCAACACGTAAAAACGGCCACTATACTATATTAGAGTTTTTTGTGATGAGAACTTTTATATATATGTACAACCAGAACATATCATATAAATAAACTGGCATAATATAAGTGTGAACTGATAGTATATATAAAAAGGCCCGAATGGCACGTGCTATTGGCTGTTGAGCCAGCAAACACCGTTCTTCAAATGTCCTGCCATCGGGCTTCTCTAATTCTGCACAGTACAATAAAAAACATCATAGAACTGCCTCACTGTCTAGTCACGAATTATATGAATATAAACTTAGTAACTCATTGCAGACATACAATGTCATTTATGAGTCGACAAGGTTTTTGGTCAGAGTCTGGCGAATAATTGAGTCTACTTGAGTCAACAACTAAGGTGGCGTAGCATGCAAATACAAGCAATACCAACTTGTTCACCACCTTGTTACGTTTCTTTCAAATTGAATAAGTAGTATAATTTTATCTTCGTGACTGCTGTTTGTTCCCAAAACAAATTTGGAACAGCTCTTCAATGTATTCTGACCATCTTCTCAAAATGTTATTCTTCTGTATTATCAAAGTGCCATCTTTTGATTTTATGCACAAACTTGAGGTGCAAGTCTCACGACCTGAAACTAAGTTCAATTTCTTGTTCATCAGAGCTGTGTTTGTTCATAATGAACATAAGCATTAGTGCAATATCTCAAGCACTGTGTCAGATAAGAAAATGCAACCAATGTAACATTGAAGCGTTTGAATATGATAAGTGACTAACTTATCAAATAAACATGTAACCTCTTCAATCAGTGCTCTAATGAAGGCAGTGGACATGGTATATGATCGCCATTGCTTATGACCATATATGATGTGACATGATTTGATAAATACCTTAACATGTAAAGCACTGTTGCATATAAGAACATGCAACCAGTGCTATTTTTTTTATTATATTCAATGTTGCAGACAGAATCATGCATTCAAATCTGAAAAAAACGAGACATTGGACATGAGATAGAACTAACTTTTCAGATGACAACATATTGTCATGTAATCTCATTAATTTGCACGACTTATATAAAACACTTTTGCAGATTGTACAATACAATTAGTGTCAGTATGAAGGCATTGTACAGGAGTTGTTGCTAATATTTTATAAGATGGTAGAAGGCCATGCTATGCCAAAATAGTTCAATTAGGTTCGGAAAAATGCATTGGTAATGTCACTGTCATGTGAATTGTACTGCTATTTTTTGTTTAATGTATTGTTTTTGTATCTATTGCATAATTCGTATTGTATCGTACTGCCAACAACCAGCGGTTCAGGTGAAGAACATTTATGAATATTTTCCATAGTTTGCAATGGTTTGTGGGGAAGAGGAGAGGCTTACATCTCACACTGAACTCATAGTCTTTTAACATAGACATATCTTGAGAACTAGTGCATTTGAAAAAGAAATGTAACCATTTATGTGATTACTAATAAAGATACAGACATGTGACCAAACCTACACAAAAGCCATTGAGCAAGAGAAATAACCAACATATGTGATGACAATATATTGTTACGGAACTCATTATAAAGCACGTCTATAATATCTAAAGCACTGTTGAAGTTAGTGACATGTGCATTATATTGAAGGCATTACACAAAGGAAATGGCCAGTGTATTCGATGACCGAACTCATTATATAATATATGCATGTATCTAATATCTCGAACACTATTGAAGACAGATCCACGCTATATTGAAGGCATTGGACAAGAAAAATAACCAATTTGTATTTGATGACCATATATGGTGATATAACTCCTTAAATATGCATATCTTTAAAACTCATGTATATATATGGTATATATGGTTAAGTCCAATCCCTCACGAATAATATTGGTTGCTTGTGTATGGTTGACCTATTACTTAAGATTTTAGAGTTGTGTATATTATTGAGATCCCGTGACCATATAGAGTCAT